ATAACATTATCTATATTTGAGTCAAAAAAGCGCTAGAGCTTTGAATTTGATATTGGAAATCATATAGCAAACTGGGTATATAGACGGATTTGAGAGCTGTCCCAGAACCCCCAAAATGCCTATATTAAAACATACGGAATTTTGATATAAAATCATTAATTACGTATACAAACCTTATAAAAAACATATCATTTCCTTATTTCGATTTCTTATAGGGTTAATGAACAAAGTAAAATCAGCCAAAGAGACAGAGTATATAAATGGATTTTAGCAAAAAGCACTCACTAGTAACTTATTGATTCTAACATCTGTTTTGTTAAATCCTGCAATTTTTTAGGTTTATCTAACCATATTCTATAATTAATATTATCCAAAACTTCATTCATGTTAATTTTCGATTCCTTATTTTAGATAAATTCTTTGCAAGCTTCCATTATATCATGATTTTGTTCTAACTTATATTTTTGTAATAGTTTCTTAAAATATCACAAACTGATCCAGGCATATTTGTAAAGGATTTTGACTTGATATCTAGAACATCTGAACAAATCAGATAATTGAAACCAAGATTTTCCACATTTATTTTCTTAAGTTCTGTTTCTATTTTCTTTCACATAGTTTTTTTATAACTAGTACTCTTAGTTATGCACTGTCTAACATTACACTTCAAAGATCGTAAATTTATATTTGCATCTTTATACCAGGCTTTAGTATTGATTACTAATGCTTCTATTTCTGAGAATAAGCATAAATCTTCAAATGCAATTACAACCTAAAATATATTTAAAATTAGTTTCTAAGACTCATTTGATAAATAATTTAATTTTACATTGTGGGATCAGATTAGGTTTCCATTTTCATAAAGTCTTAAATGCTGACAAAATGCTTGATATATAGCTATATCTATCAATATATAGTATAAAACTAGTTACTGCTGTATGAAAAGTAATAATATTACAACAGATATCATCTTCTTCACTAGTGATTATACCATACTAAGAAACCTAAAAAATACAAGTTATAATATCCATATATTTATCATAAAATAATTTATCACTATACCTGTTTTGCCAGTTTTTTTCTAGTATTAAAACTTTAAAGCTTCATTATCTGCTCAATGTCTTTTGAAGAGACTCGTTTCAAAACTCGTTCCAAACCATTTTCAAAATTCTCCATTTCCTTTTCAACAAAGCCTGTTTATTCACCCTTCTCTACTTATACAAATAATGTTATAGAGATTCTGACGATATCAAGAGACTCTCTTATTAAAAAGAATTCTTCCATATTTTGATAAAATAAAAAGTTAATGTTAGTGTATAAAGCTTGCTAGACAAATAAAAATATTATAAATTTCAAGAAATTTTCACTATACTATCCTTTTAAATGTTTTAAAATCTTATCATTCATATCTTCTCTGAGCTTAAGTTCATATTGGGATCAAAGCAGAAGAATATGCAAGACACTTTATGCTAAAATTTTGTGTTAAAGAATAAAAATATGTGGAATGTGCATTAAAGATCTTGACATTTTCAAAGGCGTTAGAGATAATGCATATATGAATTTTTTTCGCTCAAACTGCACAAAAACCTGGCATATATATAGATAATATTCTATTTAAAATAAAATAGAAATATTCTGTCCTTCCGAAGCAAATATATATATCATTAAATGATATTCTACTAAATGCTATTCTGCTAAATGTTTGCAAGAAAAAATTCAAAATATTTTGGGAATTGATTTCTTATATGTGAAAATTAATTTATTGCACAAACAATCATACTAAGTTACAAATGATTTACAGAGTATCACTTATTATATCATATATACTTTAACGAGAATCGAAAATGTACTAATTTATATTGCATATGCGAACATACATTGTGGCAAAGTGAAAGATATTATCGATTTTTTAAATACTTTTCATAATAGTTAATAGTAAATAGCAATTCAAATTTAAACCTTTGGTAAAAATCAACAGCTTTATATGCTACCTTATCCAATGATCATCTTAACTGATGTTTCTTGATTTCTATCTATCTACTAGAAAAACAATAAACATACTTCTTATATAATGGGTTAATTTGATTGGATTAATTATTCTAATATATTTTGAGTAACTTTTTCTAAATAAAGCATAAAACTTATCGCAAGTTATATCATACTCTTCTTGTATTTCAGGATTAATAACCATTTGCACTTTTCTAAATATACCTAAGAATTTCTTTCTATAAGGAATACCATCATTTCTCATTACCTTTCAAACCCATTTTGCTGAAGATTTAGGTCTCTTCTTATAATTTCTGTAAGCTCGCTGAATAACAGTTGCATAGAAATTTTTAAAGTCATATTGATAGTAATATTTAAGAATCAAGAATCCCCAAGATTACTTCATTGCTTTTCCTGAAATACTTCACTAAAATAGTTATATATTAGAGAACCTAACTTAGAATAAGCAGATCACATTTTTATCTAACAGGTGATACATTTTACAATTTCACTAAGTGATCATGTATGCAGATTATATAGCATAAAAAATAATAAGTTATATATTGTGACTTTGGCTAAATAATATTAATATTCAGTTGAAAGCAATAAGATATTTCTTGAAATCAGTCAGTCAAATTAGCTAAACAATCGTAATTTCTGTTTCATTTCTCAATCTTAATGCGGGCTAATTAAGATGGTTTATAGATAGTAGTAATTTTTTTTGTTTTAAATACCGAAATGAGATAAATATTTCATTTGTATTACTTTTGCAATTCGATGATTAATGTGAAATTGGCAAAACCATTTCTTGCCTAGCAGGTGAAATATAAGCCAGCTCAAAATTTGGAACACTTGACATAGTATTTTTTACTACTGTTACTTTAGATTGTACATATATTTCATAACTAGATGAACGACAATCAATATCATTTGATACTGATGCTAATTTATCCTTTTCTGAGTGTGAAATAGATTTGGAAATCACTCTAAACGAAAATGCTTAATTTTTGCCTCTTCTTATAATATGTATTGTTTATATTGCCAGATCTGAAATTCCTTACTATCAATAGATTTGAGAATATCTTTTCTTCTTGTATGTTTAATTGAAATACTATTTCCTGAAATACAGCTCTTAAAGTGGCTATCTCGATAGTAATTAGCTCTATTAAAACCATTTTCAGGTATGAAACTAAGAAGTCATATACATTAAAATATATGTAATTTGATGGAAAACTGGTATCCTACCACCTTCATATAATTTTCCATGCATTGTAATAAATCCATTTCCAGAAAGGATTCTTGGGTTTTCTTTTAGTATTTTCCTAAATGGATCACAAATATGAGAGCACCACATTTCTGGTATTTTATGATCATATCTATCACCTAAAAGACATAATGCTTCTAATATTTTTCGATATTCTTCAAAGTTTACATTACTAAAACTAACTGAAAGAAACTTAGAATAGGTTATTCTACTATCTAAATCCATATTAGTGTTTTAGTAGATTATAACGATTTTATTGATTTTTAGTTTTTTTAATGTTTTTAGCTGATTTAGCAATATTATACTCTAATAAATATCAGATTCATTTTTATTTGATTGTTCGAGTGAAAACATTCATATTTTTTGATTCGGTTAAATTAGATCCGATCACCATAGACGGCTAAATTATAAAATTTGTATCATATAAGATTCCTAGTCAGTTCCCGGCACTTCCTCGCAACCTTCCCGCAACTCAAATCACGAGATAATCGGGCAGTTGAATTTTATTCGATGAGCAGTCTCACAGCATTTATAAGTTAAAAATTATGTTATCATTAAAAAAATAAAGCCCATTATGGTTAAAACTTGATTATTTTTTATATTTTAATACACAAAAATGAAAAATCCGGACACTAATTGCGCAGTAATGTGGCGCAGTAACGATCCTCCCTCAAATAATTTTTTTCGGGATAGCGCGATGTTTTATTTGTACTGTCAATCCGGCAAAAGTTTATTATGCAAAAAAAGATAATTTTGTCAATAAAAATTAACAATGATCAAGCAATGATCGATATACTGTATTTTTCATTTTCTGCATATACGTTAAAAAATAAGATTTATATGGGAAAACCTAATAATACATATACACAGAGTATTCACATTAATTGACAAGTAGACACTTTAATAGCACGCATCAGTTCATGAGGAGCCTCTACTTTGTAACGGTTGCCACTCGGGAAAACAACTATTAGCCCTTTATCTATTGACATTCTTCTCAACTTCTCAGGATATAACGAGCCACAGGCGATGCCGATATATTGTTTTCCAATCAAATCTTTGAATTTCACACTATCCGTAGCTTTAAGCATATTCGGGAACTCATTTAATCGACTAAGAATTTTTTCAACATGTTTCTGAATGCAAGATTTATAAGTGAGCCAGGTTATCAATAAATCTCATAATTCTTTTATACATACATCTGTCATTTGATGTTTTTCCTCGATTAAAAACACCTTATTGTTGCAAACGAGGATCCCATCCCACTCCATGAGCGGATTTTTGTTCTTAAACATTATCCGTTCCGGAAAGATTTCCACATGTGACTTAATCATTTCGTGAAGAAAGGTCTTTACTGCCAGTAACGATTCGTCTTCCATAACCTTATCTTCAATTTGCGACCAGGTAATTCCCTTTCTGACCACTGTCAGATGGGACGCATTTATTTTATATCTTTCACCGGGTAGTATATATTCGAAAGAGGTAACAACCGCTGGTTCATCAATGACGTCGGATATAAGTTCCAGTCCTTTCGCTCCGACACTCTTTAAAAAGAGTCGATATTCGTTATTGCTATGCATCGTATATTTTTCAAATTTCCCAAACAGTTGTTCACCCTCATTGTTGTAAGATTGAACAAGGAAGGTCTTCGGTTTATTTTCTGGGATATACAGCGCAGACGTGACTATTATCAAAAGGTTATGAGTCAAGTTCGTGTTGACCAATAATAACGACGCAAAGGCTTACCTTGATGTTCATCTAAATTCATAGGCACATAATAAAGAACAAAAAAAAGTTTAGTCGTAGCGTCGCAAACAGTATAACGATATTTTAATTTTTTAACATACCAGCAGATATGTTCTTCAAGAGTTCTGTTAAAAGACACATCCTATCTTCGTCTGCTTTGCGGGAACTTGTAAGTGCAGAATATAATACTGTTCTCTCCTCGCTACGCGTAATAAGATAAGCTTGAAGCTTATTCGAGTCTTTTTGTGGGAGTCCAAGACTATCAATCATTTCGAAAATATTTGACATGATGTTTATTGTAGATATTAGTTTGGAAAATGAGAACGATTGTCTTGAGATTTTATAGATTTTATATCGACTATATATATGATTCGGAAACAACTTTTATTAAACTTCATTAATTATGTGAACGCGTTGTAAGCCTGAATAAACTATTAACTTCATTGATTATTAGTTGAGAACGCGTTTTGTAAGTCCGAACTCAATATCTTATCATCAATTAATCAGTTGATAAAATACATTGTATTTTTGATTTAACAATATCTAATATCATTACGAAATTCGAGTCATAGTGAAATATTTTGAATTAAATTAAGTAATATATAATTTTTTTCTGATGTCATTCATATTCAGAAGCGAAAAATGAGGTAGCTTATGAAATATATGATGTCATCAAAGAGGGAGGGAGTACGCATTTAATGTGAATCCCAGCATCAAGTTATTTCTTTGCTTTCGGTATTTCTACAACCAAGATTGGCGTGATTTAGTACTGAGGAAGGTGTGCAATCATTCGTATACTGGTAAATTACTGTACACCCACACCACCCATACACTGTTAAGATTAAGATAAAACCCGATGTGGGCAAACTTTATTAATGTTAAACCAAATAATACATATGTGCCGGTAATCACGTGACAGCGTGAAGAATCTTCACAGAATCACGTGATAGATAATTACATTCATGTCATAAGAGAAACGGTCTATAATACTTTGAATCTGGGTACTACTAGATAGGCTTGAAATAGCATCAGCACTAAATGATTTCACTCGCTTGATCTTGTTTGTTCCTATCCTAACAAACACCTTGTATATATTCCTTGCTTTCTGGGTTTACTTACGCAAATTTGATTCTGTAATTCCTGGAAGATGCTGTGTAACTTCACGGTATACTTGACCCCTAGCTGTTGGATCGGTAACCGTTGAATCTTGAGATCTAATATCTCTAACCCTGTTTTCGAATCTTCCAGCATATTTCTCCGGAGTTCTGGAGATATATAAAAGACGAGAGTGATCCTGCATAGTGACTTGCTTCGATTGACTCCCTTGTCCAGCACGAGATTCATCTTCTACCAATCCTAGCGAAGCCATGAGCTCCTCATCACCCTGTCCAGTGTCAGTTTGTTTTTTCTGAAGATGATATTTTCCAGAGGCGAGTGCTGCTTCTTCTCTAGTCAGCTCAATGATTATATTACACGAAGGGCATGTAAGAGATTCTGTTTCTGCTCGCATAATATATTTCTCAAGACATTGGCGGTGGAAAAGGTGTTCGCAATCCAACACAACGAACGATTGAAATCAGAATTTTAGGATTACTCTTTGGCAAATACTACAAGGATTGAGTTTCGGATTCTGCTGGGGATAGTTTGAAATCTCTTGATTTCGAAGATAATTTAATGCAAGTACTTCGAGTTGGGAAGGCTCAGAAGTATATGTTTGAATTTCAGAAGTGCTGGTCGAAGGTTCACTGGTTATAGTGGCGCTCGAAGGTTCACTAGCCATAGTGATGAATTGTAAAGAGTGAAGTGCGAAATGTGAAGTAATTTCCTCATGTTCACTCTACTTATATTATTTTCTTGAAAAGATTTAAGCCTAAGCTAAAGTAAGAAGGTAATATTATAGAAATTACTTTAATCATTGGAATATCAATCTTGAAAGCAACGCACCTATCTTGTTTTCCATACACTAGAGATCCACCGTGATCGTAGCAAAACATGAACGTCCCTGGATCTTCGCTGGCAATCCAAATTACCGATCACGAATCGCCTAAATTCCCTGCATTAAATGTATAATCTCGAATAGGCCAATTGGTTCATTACCCACGAGAAAATCTTAATCGACAAGGTTTTTTTTATATTTGCAATACATTAGATAAAGCTTATGTTACAGTTGACCCGCTTCATACTATATATTAGTTACAAGATCTGGAGACGCTAATGCTCAGCCTAAACTGAAAGTAAACACCTACCCTTAATCGTCTAATGTCTCGTCCGGTGCTTCGCTAAGTAACTTTCATTCCGCTGACACTTTTTCACACTGAGGTACGTAATGAATATGCCCGTTAGATTTGCTTATTTACATAATTGCAAGATTCGTATTTGCGAGGGTTTCGTTTAGCATTGAAGCGGATATATATATATATATGCGATTCGCACGTCGCACAGCCCCTATTCCTTCGGCAAGATTTTTTACCGAATGTCTTCTGCGCATGATATCTAAGCCACCCACGTGATTCGAAAAAAAAAGTAATAGCAATTCAAGTATCCTAGGCAGTCACCAGAGAGATGGTGGGACTCATTACTGACTGAGGTACGGGATCATCAAAATATATATAATGGTTCTCGTGAATTTCCATGAGTATTTTATCAAATCATTATCATTTACTTAAGGCTTAGTTGGTGTTTTCTCCTCTAACTTCGTATTCTTGTCATTTCTTCACGCGTGAGCCTTTCATGAAGTTCGTGATCATACTCATCATCAGAGTCAGAGTCATTGGATTTGAAATATACATCGGAATCAGATTTATTGGCATCGGAGTCAGATTCATTGGCGTTGGGATCATTTGAGTTAGAATCATAAGCTGAAGTAATAGCCACGCTCTCGGAGATTTCATTTACATGACTCTAGTGATCACTAGTGATTGTTCTATAATGTAATCGATTTGAAGATTAGTGAGTCTTAAGATTCTGTCAGCATTACAAGTAACCCGCTGAATCATATGTCTGCCTATACCTTTTATCTTTTTTAGAGTTACAGGATCATATTCATATCCAAATAACTTATTACTTTTCTTGCTTTGCTTGTTATCTTGTATAAATATATATCAGAAATACCTGTAAGATACAGTTTTATTTTATTGTAAATCTGCTTTATTGCAATCTGATCCGTAAGTTTTTTATTTCCAGATCTAAGCTTCACAACCTTGTCTTCAAATTTTTCAGAATAGCACCACCATAATGAAATCTTTGTTTGCTTTACTATGATCAATTTATTTCTTGCAACATTTGCTTAGCAGAATGAATTCACAAGCTTTTTGATGCTTATCGATCCAGAAATTAGGGTTTTAGAAGAAGTAAACTTTATATGTTCCAGAAGTTAAATATCAGATGAGAGTAGCTCTTCCAACAGATCTTACACAAATTCAATAGCAATATTTGAGAAAATCTAACTATTCACAGTTAATGATAAACTGTCAGAAGAAGAATCTTTTTCTTCTGGTCTTTCTACCTTTACCTTCATCTTTTTCTCTGAACATATATGCGAGAAAGTAGACAGTATGTTTACAATATTGGGTTCTCTTACATGTAACATTTTAAATTTTCAGAAATCTTATGAACTTGGTTTACAGATTTTGTATCACATAATAAATTTGAATCAGCAATACCTTTTTGGAACCTTCTACCTTTCGCTTTATTTAAACTGTTAATAATATTGGGAATAACATCCTGGACAGCTGATTCACGTTAGTAAAATACATTAATATGTGACAGATTCTGCTACAATGGCAATTTTACAATCGTCAAATAAATCAAAAATGCAGTAGATTCCGATGCATTGGACAGCTTCAATTATACATTTGCAACAAGAATAATCGTCAAATAAATCAAGATTTCCTCTACGGTGGATAAATTTTATGCTATATAAAAATGTACCAAAATTGATGCTTTAATAATTGCAAACAATTAAACTTTTTATCTAATTTTTAATAATTGTATAACATATATCAATCAATATGAGTTTCAAATGCCTTTTTTGTGAACGAATATTTAGTCAACATTCTACATATAGTCAATATGTTCAATTATGCTTAAAAAAGCAGAAATAGAGTCTGATTCTGATTTCAAAGAGCAAGGTAGCAATAACGAAATAAATTTTATGGAAGATATAATTCCAAATATCAATGATGAAAATTATTTTAATATAAGTTTTATTAAATTCATAAAATCAAAAGTGTTTTGCCTTTAATTAACATTTAACAATAAATTTTTAGATGGAAGATAAAATTGAAATCCAAGACATATTATTTAATAATATTGAAAGTACACAAAGTAATTTACTTTCTGAAATTTTAATAAGAAGCTATAAAAAGAGATTAGAATCTGAAAGTTCTGAAGAACTGGAATCAGAAATCTTTGATAAACTTAAAACCTCTGAAAGTGAAACTTGCATAGAATTTTCTAATGAAGCTTATAAAAATCTGATGTTATTAGTAACAAAAAATAAATTAAACAATAAGGCTAGTAATGAAATTATACGTTTTTTTAACAAACATTCAAACCTTTCAAAATCCCGTTACTGAAAAATATTGAAAAAACACAAATATTCATGAATAAGATGAAATTTTCAAATTTGTAGTTTTTAAAAATTAGTATAACATCTCATAATGGTAAAGAATATTTTCTTTATTACCAGGATTTAATAAGCTGTATTAAAAATATCTTGTCTATTCCTGACATAATGAAAGATTTTGTGTTTTCTTATAAAAATTTTGAGGTAAAAAATTAGGATTATACAAATTTAACATTATAATATATATTTTAATATATATTTATTTATTTCATAGCATCAAGAAGAAAGTATATATAAAGAACAAAATAATGGATTATGGTGGAAAACTACAAAAACTTCCTTATCTTATGGAGCTAAATTATTATCAATTATTTTATATTCGGATGCTATAACTACTGACACATTAGGAAAAATTCAGTTACATCTAATATATATATTAATTGGTAATATTTTAATATAGCATCATAATAAATCAGACGCAAAGCAACTTTTAAGGTATTTACTAATATTAGAATCTTTTCTTGGTAAAAATCAAACTTATGAAATCTTTCACAAATCTTTAAAATACTTATTAGAACCTATTTATCTAATGAATGGTATAGAACTTGAAGTAAATAATAAAACCATATGGTTATACTCACGCATTTCTGTAATTATTGCAGATTAGCCAAAGCAGCAACTTTTTGTTTAAGTTACAAGTTTACCAATTCAAATTTTCCTTGTTATTCTTACTTGGTAACAAGAGATAATCTTATAAAATTAAATTTGTTGGCTGATAATACAAAACTAAGATCTTATGAAGATATGCATAAACATTTTGATAAACATACTGAAAAATCTGTTAGTATAGAATCGGTATCTATTTTTTTTCTGGAATTTACTATAAGTATTTATAATTTAACATAAAGTCAAATATTATATTACTGTATAATGACAATTATTTTAAACCTTTAGAAACATAAATATCTATTTGGCTACAATGCCTGATAGAATGCATCATTTAGATCTCAGTTTATTCTGCTACCAAATTGATTTTACGTGAGAATTATTATGATTCTAACATAACAATACCTTAGTTGACAAAATAGATTTCTGTATAGCCACAATTCCTCATTTTTATAATCTAAAAATATTTTCTAAAGAATTACAAATTACAAGGTTAATTGCTAATGAATATCAGTCTTTGATGAAACAAATGATATTTGTATTAGATAATTTGAATAGATATGATAAAGGAGTAGATAATTTCATAAGTAATAACGAACTTGTGAAATTATATAAAAGTTGAAATAAAATATATATTATAAATAAATATGAAGAATTTACTGAAGCTAATCTCAATAAATTTAAAGTAAGTTGATAAATATTTTTATTAAATTAAATCTAAAAAAAATAAAAACTAATAATAAAATTTTTTAGAATGCAATAAATGATTGGGCTAAAAGGTTTATTCAAATTTTTGTATTTATCTCCTATTCAAACCTGAAGTTTCTGAAGTTGCATTTATGAGTATATCACATTACGATTATATAGTGCAATAAATAGCTATACAACAGAAACTTACAATAATATCGCATATATTTTCTCAATAAATAGTGATATTAACAAAATCATCTCGTCTATACAACTTTTCTAGGAAGCTTTTCAAATTTTCATTATAAAATGCAAATACATTTTTTAACAAAATAAAAGAAATTACTACAGTTAATAATAGAATGAAAGTTGGACTTGACAAGTTTTTAGGTTGTTTGGATTTTTATCTGGAATTACTTCAAATCTAACAATTGATAAAAGCCTTGTAAAAATATATAGATCAATGATTTTAGAAAATGACGTCATAATGTATGCTACTAGCAAATATCATAATAGAGCATGGTTTAGTGGAGTAGCAATTTCAATAGATTCTGAAAAATCGAATGATTATACATCAGATTAGGGAATTTGCTATAGACAGGTTAGTTAAAATAATAATTTTAATTATTTATTAATATCTAGTAGTTATTTATTCTAATAAGTTATTAACATTCATTCTTTATTATTTTAGGCTTTATTATTGGCAGAAATATGAATAGAAAAAGACTGTTCTCCATTAAATCTTGTGTTAATTTAGTAGTTTGATTTCAAATCTCAAAACTACCTATATAAATACGGATATCCTAATATAAAGTTAACAGAATTATATAATTTTATAGCAATAGAAGCTATATAAAATATTATGCATATAATACTCCGTTTTGATAAAACAAATGAATATTTTATAAATAAATATATATTTTGATAATAAAGTTCTATTTTTATTTATTTATAAAGTTATAGATCATTAAATTTATAAAAGAGCGAAAATAATAATAAAAATAAAAAATTGTAAATAATTAAAAAAATTATTTTTTTAAGATAATCCTAATATTAATATATAATACTAGAGAACGGTATCACCATTGTGAAGTCCAAAGCTTAAGATCACGTGAATTAATTATGTCAATATCATTGAATATGTCATACAAATCAAAATCAATTTATTATATGTCACATAAATTAAATTGTGAAATATCATGCAAATCAGAATTACCTACTTCGCAATATATTATATAAGAATCTTATTTTTATTTAGATCAATAAACAATACTATTAGCATATGGTAAAAAAAAACAAATAAAACACTTTATTAATTACCAATTTTTCCAAATTAAGCAAGATTGATTTATTTGACAATAAGAAAATAATATAAAGATACAATTAACCCCTCTAATAATACCAAATTTGTTAAATCTAATAATTAATATAATAAATAGATCGTTCTTGTTGTTTTGATGAATAAATAAATTGATTGTTAATAGAATAGAATGCATAATAGATAGATTAATTTTGTTGTTCTTAATGAATAAATATATTAAATTCCTCTTTGTATAACATAATGTAACAAAATAATATTAATAAAGAACAGTTGAACTTCTAATCATGAACGAATGATTATAATCATAAAATTCCTAAACATTTAATCTATATAAAATTAATAAGTAAAAGTAAAATAAAATGAGTACTAATCCTGAAATAATCTGAAAAAAAAATAGCAAAAACAAAGAAACTCCTAAATAACGTCAAATATGTCTTGATTGTGAAAGTGAACGAAAACGTTAGAAAAGAGCAGAAGAAACAGAAAACAAATGTAAAGAAAGACTTACAAGTGAGTCTAAATGGCAAAGATAGAAAAGATCAAATGAGATCAATGAGGAATGTAAGAAATGCAATAATCGCGAGAATAAAAGAAAGCGTGAATTTTGAAGACAAAAAGCAAAAATATAAATAAGATAAATAGTTAAAATCAAGTAAATTAAAGAGATGATGATGAAATAATAGAGTTAGATCTAATAAACGAAGGAAGAAACCAAAGAGAAAATATAAATATAAATGATCAACTGGTATTAGCCACCAATATTAGCGAACACGAACGCTACACATTGCAAAAATTCCAACACAAAATAAATGATATTCAGTATAACGTCTGTCCTGAATGTAATGAACAAACTTCATTAATGACGCTCATTTATAATATGTGTTGTCGTTGCTACAATAAAAAGAAGGAACTAAGAAAATTTTCAAGAGAAAACAAAATGGATCTAGGCAAAGTACCTGAAGAAATCAAAGGATTAACAGAAATTGAAGAAATGCTAATTGCTCAAATGTTCACTGATTTACTGTAATAATTGTTTATCAACTCAAAGGAGAGCAAAACAGTTACAGGGGTAATGTCATCAACTTTTTACAAGATATAAGAATATTAAGAACACAACTTCTAAGAAACCCATTATCACTAAATATGCTCTTGATACGAAGACAATCAGCAAACGATTCAAACGAATTCAGAGATTTTACTATACGAAGAAATAGAGTTACTGCTAAATTGTTATGGTTAAAATCTAATAATAAGTACTACAAAGACATAAATATCGATTATAAAATTATCCAAAGTCTACCAGAATATGGATCTGTAATTAACCTACTCTCCCAAATACAAACTAAAG